GCCCCAGCCTGTTTGTTCTGAACGTGTATAGCAGACCCAAAGCCAGACACCACTTTAGCACGTTACTGCGAGAGGCGCGCGAGGCAGCTGCCGACGGGCCCTTGCTCATCGCGGGCGACTTCAACGCGCCCCACGCGGCGTGGGGGTATGGCTACGAAACGCCAAAAGGTAAGCGCCTTTGGGACGATGCACAGAATGAGGGCCTCGAGCTCATCACAGACCCTTCCGCGCCTACGCGCAGGGGCAACAGCGCATGTGCAGACACCTCACCCGACCTCACATTTACCAGGAACGTTGCTAGCGCGCGATGGCACAATACACAGGAGGACCTGGGTAGCGATCACTCAGTGATCGAGATCCAGGTCGACGCTGAACCTCACCACCGCGTTCATCGTGAAGGTACCAAGGGCAAGAACCACCGGCTGGTGGATTGGGACGTGTTTCGCAAAGTCCGGAAAGAGCAGAATCGTGGCAATGCGGCTATGGAGGATATAGATAGCTGGACTGCGACGCTCAAGGAGTATTTTGAAACGGCGACGCGAGAGGTTCCGCCAGAAGCCCAGCTCGAAGTGGTAGACAGCAAACTCCTACACATGTGAGAAGCCAAGCGCAGCCTGCAAGACAGGTGGAAGCGTCAACGCCACAATCGAACGCTGCGCAGACGCATAGCACGGCTAAGCAGGGACATGGAAGAGCACGCGTTACAGGTATGCAAAACGCAATAGGAAGAGATCTGCAATGGGATGGAGAACCAGCTGGGACGGGCCAGACGTGGCATCTCCTCCGGCACCTCTTGGATCCAGAGGAGACGAAACATCGCACGCACATAAGCTTAACAAGTTGCTGCACGACTACAAAGGCACCCACGCGGACTTTCTAGATGACGTGCGAAGCCGTTACTTTCAGTCACGTAGCCCCCTCGCGCACTCGGCATACGCCTGGGAGGGTGAGGGTCACGCGGAGCTAGACGAGGACTTCAGCGTTGCAGAGGTGAGGGCGGTGCTGCACAGGCTCAACACAAAGTCGGCGCCAGGCCCGGACGGGATAACCAACAAAGCGCTACGTAACTTGGACGATGAGTCGATAGAACAACTGACGGCTTACATGAACGAGTGCTGGAATGCGGGCGCTATACCGAACTCGTGGAAAACGGCGCGCATAATTATGATCCCCAAACCGGGCAAACGAGTACAGATTGACAACCTTCGACCAATATCCCTGACGTCCTGCGTTGGTAAGGTCATGGAACATGTGGTTCTCGCTCGCCTTACCAACTACCTCGAGGACCGAAACATGCTCCCACACACGATGCTGGGGTTCCGTCGTAACCTTTCCACACAGGACGTTATGCTTAAACTCAAGCACGATATCGTAGACAATCCCACACGATCCACCAAAGCGATACTCGGGCTCGACCTCAAAAAGGCGTTCGACAACGTTAGCCATGCTGCGATACTTGAAAGTATACGAGCGTGGGACTTGGCGAGAGAACGTACCACTACGTACGGGATTTTCTTACGGGCCGCCGGGCCCGATTAGCGATCGGCGAACTAGAATCGCAGGACATATACATGGGTTGTACTGGCACGCCGCAGGGCTCCGTAATCTCGCCCATGCTCTTTAACCTCGTGCTTGTCGGATTACCACGAAAACTCGCTGAGATAGAAGGCCTCCACCATAGCTTGTACGCCGATGATATCACCCTCTGGGTTGCCGAAGGAAATGACGGCCACGTAGAGCAAACGCTGCAGGAAGCCGTCGACGTGGTGCAGGACTACCTTCGCGACACTGGCCTCGAATGTTCCGCAGCTAAATCGGAGCTCCTGCTCTATAGACCATCGCGCAGGGGCCGTAAACCCAAGAACGCCGATTCCGCATTCGAGTGCGCATATAGAGAAATTAATGTACGCACATCAGACGGCGCTGTAATCCCACAAGTTAACACCATTAGGGTACTGGGCTTGCGCCTGTCCGCCAACGGCCACAACGGCGAAACCGTTCGCAGACTAGAGGGCGCGGTCAATGAAACAATCCGGTTGCTGAAACGAATAACAAATCGGCATAGCGGAATGAAGGAAAGCAACACCATTCGCCTGGTACATGCTTTCGCTATGAACCATATAACGTACGTCGCCTCCTACCTCAAGTGGCAGGCGACTGAACGCACCAAACTAGATTGTCTCATCCGCAAGGCGTACAAACGCGCAATCGGATTACCGGCCAATACCAGCACGGAAAAATTTCTCGAGCTGGGGTTGCACAATACTCTAGATGAGATAATCGAAGCACACAACATCGCCCAGTACGAACGTCTGGCGAAGACCAGAACTGGTCGACACATTCTCGAGACACTGGGTATCAACTACCATACGCAGCGCGGCGAAAAGGTCGGGATACCCAGACGTATTCGCGAGCGCATCGTCGTTATGCCGTTGCCTAAGAACATGCACCCGACACATCACATCGGTCGGCGCAACAGGCGCGCCCAAGACCTTGAAAAGAAATTCGGCAATAGCAAAGACACAGTTTACGTGGACGCGGCCCGTTACGACTGCCACCGCGGCTTCGCGGTCGCGATCACGGATCATGTAGGAACTTGCGTCACGAGTGCGACGATAGGCACGGAAGACACGGAGGCGGCCGAAGAAGCTGCCATAGCCCTCGCGATAGCCACCACGGACGCCGAGGTGATAATAGGCGACTCGCAGGCGGCGATACGCAACTACGCCAGCGGCCGGATCTCCCGCGAAGCGGCCCGCATTCTCTAAATTCACGAACGCAACATCTGCCGCAAAAAAGACAGTTTCCTCGTATGGACCCCCGCCCACACGGACCCTCCGCTTGCGGGCAACGCGACTGCCCACGCCGCGGCTCGAGGACTTACACGCCGAGCTGCGACGCCTGCCGACAGTCCCGATGTCTCGCACACTTCGACAGCGATGCGGGAATGGACGTGGGGGGAACGCATGACCACTTTCAGAGACATCACGCAACACTACAGACTGAACAGATGCAAATATCCACCACCCCACGCCAAACTAAACAAGAAACAGCAGGTTGCCTGGAGGCAACTACAGACACACACGTACCCGAATCCGGTGATCCTTCGCCTCTGCTACCCAGGCATTTATACGTCCGACGCGTGTAAGGCGTGCGGAGCCAGAGCGACGCTGCAGCACATGCTGTGGAAGTGTACCGGTAACGCGCAGCAGTCCCCTACGAACCCGGTAGACATGGCAGTCTCGAACCGCGAGGCGCGATGGGAGGCGGCTCTGCTCAGCCACGACCTTGCTGAGTAACTGTGGGCCGTCCGGCAAGCCCAGGATGCCGCCCGGGTCCAAGGACTCGAGGCCGTCACCTAGGCCGGGGTGCTTGTAGCCCCACCCCGCTCAATGACGCCGGACATGTTCAATAAAGTTTTTACTCACTCACTGAAGGTCATATAGTGCAGTGCCACTAAGATGTTGAGATTTGTAAAACAAAAAAACTAACTAGCTAAATTATGCGTTCTACGATCATGCCTGTACTGGTTACTCCATTTATCGCATATGAGTGCAGTACGCGTACGATTATGTCATATACCATTGTCTTTCTTACATCAAGACAAAGATTAAATGCACATATGCGACCAGTGTGCTTTCACCTTTAAAAAGATAAGTGCGCCGCATGCGTTTTAGTGTGTTTTTTTTTTGTCTTTTGGAGCTAATAATATACAGCTTTCAATCACGAAGACGTCATATGCGTCGAAAGCATCAAAATCGTGACAGAATGAGTGAGTGAAACAACTTCATTTGGTCCACAATGAGCATGGCTTAACTCGACGTCAGAAGGTCCACTCGGGGATGGAGAATACTTTCGAGCGGAACCTTGCAAGTTTAACTCTGTAACATCTAACTTCACCTAATGCTTATTAAGCTTTCAGTTCCGCTAGCTTATCAAAAAGCAGTTGGCACCGTCAATGAATGCGCCCACCAATATTTCAGTTTCATGTTTTATATAACCAGCACTCCATATTATTTCAAGTTGCCAAGGGTCTACGTATTCTGCGCTCATATCAATCTTGTTTACGTATGGTTACCTGTATTTGTTTATTTATGTCTCACAAGAACGATTCGTGTATTTCTCGGTGCCAAAGAAGCATAAGGTGCATGATATATTTTATCATAGTATGCAGGTTTATCACATTAGCCGGGTGTCTATTTTCTGCAGTATGTTTTCTACACTGAGCTTTCAACAAACTAAAAGCGAGGTAAAAAAAGAGTGCGTGAAGTCATGCCAAGATAGCCTTAGAATGCGTGTTCAGATTCAAATGGCGAAATTTTTTTCTTCATATACACTAATCCATGACGGTAAGCTGCAGCTCAAAGCTACATATGTGTCGCTTCACGAGTCACACTGCAACAAACGCGGGTTCTCTTCGCAGTATTAGGACACACGCGTGGGTCATTCATATCAAGCCAGAAGCGAGAATTTCTTTGAGTAGGGTGGGGGTAGGGCACTTACTGAAGGCCTTGACCGTTTGTGAAAAATTACAAGATTAACTAATAATTTTGGTGAATTTTGAACCTCCATCGAAATTTCAGCGGAGGCCTGGGCTCCCAAGGCACCCTTTCCCCCTCTGGCAAACTGGTCTGATGGATACTATGCAATATTTATTTTTCTATGCTAAACCTTCTACTACGCAAATTGAGTCCAGTTGCTAGTTTAAAAGCACACTCAGGAAATTTACGCCAAAATAATTTACATAATTCCCCGTTTATTTATTTGCAAGGTTTCTCACTTATTTGACTAAAAAATCACAATGCCCAGACGTGAAAAAAAGAAAGCAAACTTGAAGGCACTTTTTTGTAACCAATCTTCGTTCCCTTTTACAAAACCACAATATGTTATTTTCGTTAAAACATACAATTTTCTCCTCACGGCATGGGAGTGTGGATGTTAAGGCAATTACAACAGAATTCAACATAACTGTTGTCACACTTCCTTCCTCACACTTTCAGAGATGAGCCCAGACGCCTGCCTCGAAGCGCTGGGCTGCCACTTCCTCTATTTTTGCCAGCAGCACGGATACGACCACATCCTCCGAGTGCTGGGCTCAAACCTGACTGATTTCCTAACGAACCTCGACAACCTGCACGACCACCTGGCGTCCACTTATCCAGGCATGAGTGCGCCTTCTTTCAGGGTTTCACCGGGACCAATGGGTAGCCTGCATCTTCATTACTGCAGGTCAGGCTCGTCTGCCCATTGGCGACTCCTTTGTTTGTGTGAACACGTGCGCGATTTTACTGAATACATTGATGACTGGTTTGCTTGGCCAGCTAGAGGCACTATGCATATGGGCTAGTCAGCGATCAGGGTACTAATATTGCTCTGTTTTTCAAGCGAAGCTTGTAGTTCCTCACAACTTTCGTTGACTCCCATCGTAGGTGTGGTCGCACTGATAAATATAAAAAAGCCGGCCGTAGCTTCTACTAGTGGTACAAGGCTGATGGCACAGCGGAGCTGATTCGTTCTCAACTGGTCCTAGCCATACTGAGTGATGCCAAATTATTCGATGTGATGCCAATTGACGCTGCGTTATGCGAAGTGGTCTAGTAATACCAAGTGATGCCAGCACTGTACCTCTCGCCGTTTCGACTGCATTACGTCATCGACTGCTTCAAACGAGTCAAGTCCAGCACTCTCGCTTATTAGCACACTGCGGTTCCTAGTAAACAATTTCCTCATCGGCAGTGCGATCCTTCGTTCTATCTATGTGTGCATCTGGCGCCACGCGCCGTCTCAATGCGCCGTCTTTATGCATTATGAAGGAGCTTAGATGGCCGTCACTTCACTTCTGGTTTGGCCGAGTGGTTGCGTGCAGTATCCCGGCAGGCGTGCTGGTGGCTGACCAGTGGATGGGCAGTCTATGCAGCCAAATGCTAGGCGACGCGCCATGACGTCGTTGCGGTGCGGAGTTCTAGTTCGCGTTGTACAGATTACGACCGGCCTAAACAAATCCGCTGTTAAAAACAGAGCCCATGAATCAAATCAAATGCAGCCCTCACAGAAACGTCGGTGGTATACGCATTTGTATGTGCCGATTTTTCATAACCGATGCACTCTCCACTGTGTGAGAGAGAGAGAGTGATTCTGACCGGAGGAACTTGTCATTTCACATATTGTTGCGCGGATATGAACGCATGACCGTCGTTGTTGCCTGCAGCAATGGAACTTTCAAGCTGCTAAACACGTGAATAGAGGCCCAATTTGAAGCATAACGGAAGGCGAAAAAGTAAGGAGGCAGCATTGCGCAACGCGTTAGAAAGAAAAAGAAGAAGCAGGTAAGGCACTCACACGCCACTTGCCTCCATTTTCCCGGTAGGGGAAGACCTCCTGAACTTTCTCTCTCTCTCTCTCTCTCTCTCTCTTTCGGTGTTAATAGATTAGATGACTTGTAGGCTGGAACCCTTATAGGATTATGAGTCATGTTGTGGTGGGGGCCTCCTGAATGATTTGAGCCACCTATGACTCCTTAACGTGCACCAAAATGGAGATAAAAGGTGTTCCGGCATATCGTTTCCACGTAAACGCTGAACCTCGGATAAACAGTGATACAACTACAAAAACGGGATGAACAGGATCAAGCGCTTCGCTTGCCTCTATTTTTGCTTGACCGTGTCCTTTCCTTTTTTGCCCCATTGTAGCGCTGCCTATACGAAGTTCAGTTCGCACCAACAAGCCTGCATTAACACATTTTATCAGTTAAGATCTATATGCCATTACCGGTATACGTCTGTGAACTCGCACATGACTCGACTCACTCAGACTCAGATCAAGCCAAGAGTCTGAGTCTGAGTAACTCCGGGTGAATAATATTTTGGTGAGTTTGAGTCCGAGCGATTCCGGCAGAAGAAAATTTTGGTGAGTGTAATTTCTTGTGTGAGGTATATTTTGGTGAGGTATATTTCTTGATTGAATATGAGTGAGTTCTACATTCTTTGCCAACCTCAGGTGCTATCTACTCATCTTCAACATAATTATCAGCGTTAACCGGATTCAAGTTTACACTCGTGTCTATCTACGCACATTCTAAAGCAGTATCGTTCATACACTATTTCATTATTTATTGAAAGAGGCTTAAATTACGCTGAAGGGTGCTTTGATTTCTGCCCGCCAACATTGCTAGAGAAATTCTTGATAAATATATCTTATGTTGTCATCTCCTTCAATAAAAATGGGCTTGCTGGTCTGCAAACACTCTTAGTCGTATTCTAAGGTGATATAAGAAAAGGGGCCAAGAAGAGGCCCTATCACGTGAGATATTGGTGTTAAAGAGCATTGATACTATGGTCTAAGAAGCTAATTCCAGACCAACGGACTCCCGAATCGACTCAATCGGACTCACTGAAAATCAGATTGAGCCAAGAGTCTGAGTCTGAGTCCGGGCGAATAATGCTTTATGAGTTCTTTTTTTTTAATTTTGGTGAGTGTGAGTCCGAGTGAGTGCTCAGCGCAGAATATATTTCATGATTGAGTCTGAGTGATGTCCACAATGTTTTCCTACCTATGGTGGCCGGTAATTGAACCCGCGTCCTCGAGCTTAACAGTGCCACTCAGTGCTTTCTGTAGCTACCGCGAGACGTCCTCCCTCAGCGTTAGAAGTCGTGTGATTACGTTCCTTCCAGTAACCGTCCATTCTACAGTACTCTTCGTGCTGTTCCGCTTACAGCGAACGCAGAGGCCTGCACCCGATCGTCAAGGGTCTGGTGAAGGCCGTGGCACGGGAGTTCTTCGACACGGAGGTCAACGTGAACACGTGCAAGGTCACGGACCGAGGAGACCGCGTCACTGTCCTCATGGAGGTGTCTGAGTGTATGCTCAAGGTGGGCCCACTTCCGCACGATGTGCTAGCATGTCCGTTCTATGCGCGGCAACCAAGCTGAAATCGTTTTCGTCGTGTCGTCAATCTTAAAATTTTGGACTAAAATTCGGAGGTCGGCGGGCCTTGTCTCGTTCGATCATACGTGAAATCACCCAGCGTCGCTTGTGGCAGCCGCCGCGTTCCCTGGCGGCAGAGCTTT